CAGAGGGAAGTGAGGGATGAGTGACCACAAGGACAGGCTGGATAGAGCCAGCCCCGGGCCACGAGGACACATGTCCTCACCCACAGACAGCTCCCGCGTGGCCACTCTGCACCTGCCACTCCCCACAGGAGGCGATGAAGAACGAGACACAGTCCCGCCCAATGACCAGGGCTCCCCTCCACCCAGGAGCCCCCCTGTGGGTCCCCGGGCCCCCAGCGGACACACTGCCAGGTGCGAGGTCTGGGAGCTGCCACCACGCCACCCAGCAGCCGCTGAGGTCGCGCCCGGCCCAGCCTGGCTTCCCTCAGCAGCCACACCGCCAGGCGGCTGCCCATCGGGGCTGGGACGGTGGGCGGGCAGAGAGGCCGCGGCCTGGCAGGACGGCCCTCCGTGGCCGGCCCCCGAGACAAAGCGACAATTGGCAGAAGTCCTAGTGAGGGGACAGGACAGGCAGACAGAGGGACGGCGGGCCGGGGAGGCCGTGGCACAGATGGGCCCGGCGTGGCTGCCACCAGCCTTTCCCCAGTGGGAGGGTGGCAGGAAGGAGGGGACACCTTGCCCATTGCCCACATTCAGCGGAAATGCAACCGCCAGCCTGAGCCCCTCCCCTGCCCCCATGGGCCCAGCCGCAGGCCCTGTCCAGCTCAGGGCCACAGCGGAGACAATGACCAACCCCAGGAAAGTGCTTTCCTTTCTTTTCTTTCTTTTCTTTTTTTTAATGAATCCTCCCCTGAGGATATTTTCTCATTGATTTTAGAGAGAGTAGAAGGGAGCGAGAGAAAGACAGAGAGAAACATCCATGTGAGAGAGACACATCCATTGGTTGCCTCTGCACCCACCGTGACCAGGGCCCTGGCCAGGGCGGAGCCCGCAACCAAGGTATGTGCCCTTGACCGGAATCAAACCCGGGACCCTTCAGTCTGCAAGCCGACGCTCTAGCCACTGAGCCACACTGGCGAGATCTTGAGGCGCTTTCCAAAGAGAGAGCCTAAGCCCAGCACAGCTGCCCTGCCCCCCTGGCCCTCTGCCCCCACCCCCACCCACACCCCCAATGGGGCAGGGGCTCAGCCTTCCTCGCACTCTGGAAGCGGCTCCGGCTGGCACTGAAGCAGCCTGGCCCCTGGCTGATTTTTGGGGTGCAGAGAGCCAGCAGTCAGGCCTCCCCCAGGCGGCAGGTGTGACCCCGCCCCGATGTGGATGGACCCTGGGGGAGCCAGGGCCCCACCCGAGGGCCCCGGGGCTCTGATGGGCGGCCGCAGCCTCAGACTTTCTATGAACGGAGAGCCCGTCTGAGTTATGTAACCGCAGCCGGGCGGCCCCTGACGCGCCAGCTCTGGGTTCCTGGAAGGGTCTCAGAGAGGCGAGTCCAGCGGCTGCACGGCCCATGGGCTCCGCAGGCCCTGCCCGTCTCCCCCGTGTCTGACTGGCAGCGGCAGGAGAAACCCTCGCGAGCCAGACTTGAAACGGAAGAATCTAGATCAAGGATATATTTGGCTTTTCCAGCTCATCTTTACATCAGCTTCGTCTCTACTGACTTGTCACCTTTTGCAGGCCGCTGGGCACGTACGCAGAAGGCAGGCGACTCTTACGTAACCCCAGACAGCAGCCCGGCCCCGGGAGGCCCCGCAGTGCCCATGGGTCGGCCGGGGTCCGGCCTTTGCCCACTTCAGGGTGACCCAGGGCGCACTGTGCCCACATGCTCCGGGCACCCTGTGGTCTGCACGCAAAGAGCCCGAGGAGATGCGGGACTCGGACACGCACCCAGCCCACTTCTGCCAACACCTTGCCCAGGCCCGTGGGTGGGGGCACTGAGGCCAGGGCTGGGCGCTGCCGTTCCCACCATCATCCAAGTGGCCCCGGCCAGGAGGAGGCAGGAAGCGTCGGGAAGAGCCAGTCCCTCCCTGTCCAGGGACCAGAGGGCGGGCAGGGAGGCCTGGAGCTGCCGGGTCCTGGACTGTTGGCACTGCTCCCTACCTATGGCATCCTGGAAGCACAGGAGGCAGGAAGCAGGTGATTCGAATAAATCAGCAGGAGGGACAGACGGCAGGAGCCTCCACCCCCTCCTCCGCCCGGACATGGATCCCCTGGGTGGGGCTGGGTGTGCGGGGAGGGGTGCGCCCACGTGGTGGGAGGATGTGAGCTGCCTCCTAAAATGGCGACTCATCCCAGCATCACTGTCCCGATCGGAGCCACAGCCGTGACGCTCCCCTCCTCGCCCTGCAACCCGCTTGGAAACAGCATCTGGACTGGGCCGTAGGCAGAGTCACCGGGAGGGCTGCCTGCTGACGGGGCGTCCACCCGTCAGTCCTCCGAGGCCCAGGCACAGCCCCAGCCGTCGGGGGCCTTTCCAAGGGGGGCTGCTGACAGCCAGCTCACGGGGGCCCCGGGTGCTTGGGGAGCGGCAAAGTGCCCCGCAAAGGCAGAGCAAGAGAGGATGTTGTCACGCACCCACCCCCACCACGGCCACACCCCAGGGCCTCCCAGAGAGAAGGGGCCAGGACCTCCCATAGGAGGACAGACAGCCGCTCCAAGGGGCAGGGCTGGGAAGGAGCCGTGACTTTGGCTCGCCATTGAACTCCCGAGGACGACTGCCAAAAGCCTTGGGTGCAGGAGCCCCTGACAAAGCAGCGCGTGGAGGTCTGCAGCTCAGAACGCCCCCCGCCCCCCGCAGCCTAACTCGCGGTGCCGCTTGCTGAGTAAGCACCCCCACCCCCCATGCCCCTGGTGCTCACGGAGCGGCTCCATCCAGGGCAGCCGCACGGGGGCAGCCCCCAGGAGACGCCTGCGTCCCTGTGCATGGGAGGGCCTTGCGGGCTTTGCTACCACCGCCCCCAAAAGGCACAAAACCGGCTTGAAAAGACCCCGAATGTCTCCCGCCTGGAAGGATGGCTCCCCGCAGGGCTCTGCTCAAAACCCGCAGAACCTGAGCCCCCAGGGCCCCTCGCTCAGGTGCCACCGCGTGGGCTCTGCCTCCGGGCTCCGTGGGCCGGTCACAGCAGGCAGGCTCCGCGGCCAGCAGGAGGCCGTCCCACCTGGGCCAGGCACCAGGCAAGGGTGGCGGCTCACAGCAAGGGAAGAGTGCTTTTCAGGTGCGGTCCCGTGCCTGATGGAGGCAGAGCCCGCAGACCCTGGGGGGAGGGGACAGCTCCCACATGACAGCGCTCTCGCCTGTCAGCCTCCCGAACAGGTGACAGCTCGTCCTTCCAGACCCACTTCCAGAAAATCCCGTGCTCACCGCTCAGGGAGAAAACAAAAGGTCAAACTTCAACGTCGCCCACAGAACTATTTCCTAAAGCAAACCACCCCCCTCTCCTCCCCAGAAGCGCCCGCTCGGGGTGCTGGAGGGGCCCGGCCGGTGGAGCCTGAGCCCACAGAGCTCCCTTCGCGGCAGCGACGCTCCTCTCCCTCATCAAAATGCACGCAGCTCTCAACCTGGCAACTTGTCACAGATGGAAACATGTCTGTGCAAATAACTGGCCGGCACAGTCCTCAGGGGCCCCGCCGCGGCTCAAGAGGGGCTCAGGGGCCCGACGGGGACCCCCAGATCCTTCCCCAGGCCCTGGTGCTGGCTGAGACCCAGAGGCAGAGGGCGAGGTGCCTGGATGGGTCACCGACAAAGCCTCCTGGTCCATTTCGTCTGCGTCCAGAGCCTTATCTAGTCCGAGCACACACAGAGGTTCAGGCTGAGCCAATACCAACGCGGGCGCCTCACCATTAACCTCTTGACGCCCAGGCGGCAAATGAGACCAGCCGGGCTCCTGGAGGAGGGACGCTGCTTTCCAGAAAAAGGCCAATGACCACGTTTGACAGTTTTCACTCGCGGCTGTCAACAGCCGTAACCCCGGGATGGAGCAGCGTCTCCTCTACCAGGGGCAGCTAGAAGGCACTTGGCGAGCTTCGTCCTCTTCTCATTTCTCAAAACCAGGACGCCACTCGGTCCTCCCTGGGGCTCACTCCCCCCCGCTGTGACCGGTGGCGGTGGGGGCGGCTGGCAGCCGGCTGGGCTCAGCTCGCCTCCCTCCCCAGCGCGGGAGCGCAGTGCATCCCAGTGGACGGACTGGGAACCGCACGCCGGCGCCCTCCGCCTCCACCTCTGTCCTCCCGGCTCTGGCGGCGACCTGGGACCCAAACGCACCAGCTCCGCGGAGCCCCCAGTCAGAGGGTGATGGCTCGGGGGCTCCTGCCCTGCCAGGGAACCACTGTGCCCAGCGGGGCCCTACGCCGCCAGAGGCAGAGGCTGGAGCCCGAGCGCCCACGCAGGCGGGCAAAGTTTGCGGAAAGGGGTCTTTCTAGGCACCCCCGCCCCCACCACGGGCTCCAGGCTTCAAGTCCCTCCCAGCTCACCCCGGAGTCCCAGACACAGAGCAGCCCCAGGGCGCGCCCCGGCGTCTCAGTCTGTGGATGGGGGCGGGGAGGACCGCTCGCCCGCGCTCCCCCAGGTCCCCCGCGTCGCCTGCCCCAGCTGCCCGCCAGCTGTGCGCACCCGTCGCGCCCGAGGTCACCGGCAAACAGCTGGAGAGGCAGCTGGAAGCCCCGGAGGCCCCGCTCAGCCCGGGAGCCCGAGGAGGGGGAGGACTGGCTGAGAGGCGGTTTTGTTTTGCTTTCCTCAAACTCCGCCTGCCGAGCTCTCGCCCGGGGCGAGCGGCTCTGCCTTTCCCGGCCGCCCCGGCCCCCGGCCCGGGTCCACGGCCCGCCGCGCCCAGCGGCCGGCGCCTCGCTCCGGGCCCGGGGGAGGCAGCGCAGGGGCGGCCAGGACACTGCGTGGCTGACGCCGCCCGCCGCCCGCGCCCCTGCCCGGACACGGACGCTCGGAGCCCGGGAGAGCGGGCCGCTCCCTGCGGAGCGCTGGGCTCCGAGCTCCGGACTGGGGCCCCGACCCGGCTCCCGGGCCACCCCGTAGCCGCTCGCGGGGGGCGGGGGAGGGCCCCTTCATTTGCAGCCTGAGAAAGCGCCCTTCCGCCCGGCCCGGCGCCCCGGCACCTGCGCGGCCGGTCGCTCACCTGAGTCCTAGAAGCTGTTGAATCCACATGGTCACGTCTCAGCGAGCGGAGCTCAGACCTCGCTCGCCCCGGCCATCCGCGCGGCTCCGATCCCGCTGGCTTCCGTCCCGCGGCGCCGGTATCTGCTCTCGGTCCGCCGCCGCCCGCCGCCCGCCGCCCGCCGGCCGCGGGGCGCAGCGAGTCAGAGCGCGGCCGCGCGGGGCTCCATGCCGGCCGGCGCGCCGCCGCCGCGGGGGCGCATGGCTCAGGCTGGGCGGCCCGCGGGGGCGCACATCCTCGACCGGGGCGCGGACCGGCACCCCTCTGGGGAAGCCCCGGGAAGACGGCGGCGAGGCCCGCGGGGACGGGGCGACCGGCCGGGGAGGGGCGCACTCGGGCGCTGCGGCCGCGCGGCGGTGGTCGGTGGTCGGAGGAGCCGCGGCTTCGCCCTCCGGGGCGGCAGGAGGGAGGCCGGGTAGCGCCGCCGCGAACAGTGCGTGTCTCTCGCCTCCAGTCGGAGCCCCGCGCCGAGGGGTCGGCTCGGTCCGGGGACGGGGGCGAAGCGGGATGCGGAGGCGCGCGGGTCCTGTCCGCGCCCCGCCGGGTCAGGGTAGCGTGGCGGTCGGCACAGCTCAAGTTGGCGGGGGCTCCGTCTGAGCGCTCGCTCTGCAGACGGCGGCCGCGGCGCGGGAGGCGGGCAGGAGGCGGGCACCGAGGCGCGTGGGGCGAGGGCGCGGTGGAGCGCGGGGCGTGGGGGCGCGCAGCGGCGGCGCGGCGCCGAGGAGGCGGGCGGGGATCCCGGGCCCCGCCGCCCGTGCCCACCGCGCCCGCCGCAGAGCCGCCTCCCTCCGCGCGTCCGCCTCTCCGCGCGCTCGCCCCCGCCTCCCCGAGCGGGTCCCAACTCCGCCCGCCTGGCCCGGCTCACGTCACCCGCTTCCCCGCCCCTGGAACCGGAGCCCGAGTCCCCTGTCCGCCCAGGCTGTCGCTCTCCGTCCCGCCTCGCGGGGGCCGGGCTCGCCGCGCAGGGCTGTGCCGGCCGGGGCGTCACCGAGCGGGGCCCCGGCTGCCCCTTCCCCGTCCTCAGCGTGTCCGTCCGGGTCTCACCTTGGGAAAGGCCCGGAGAGGCCGTGGGCTCCGATTGGACCGCCGCCGGGCGCCGCCGGATGGTGTTGCCACGGTAACTGGATGGCATGCGAAACAGTTCGCGGTTCCGACCCGGTTAAGAGTGAGCCCAGCAGACCCGGAGAGCCGATTTGGGGTGGAGGGGGCTGCGCGAAAAGTTTCCTCCGATAGAGAGCGCGCAGGGGCCACGCGGCTGCCCGTGGGGGGTGGGAGGGTCCGCTACTGGGATTCCTTCTCTTGCCGCTGCCGGGGCCACCCGGACCCCCACCCCCCACCCCCACGTCTGCCTGGGCCCCTGCATCTGGCTCTAAGGGGAAGTCACGGTGTTCCTGCTCAGAGCTGAGCGAGCACCTCGCCCCAGCCCAGCCCGAATCCAGAAGCATCAGCAGTCCAGGCCGAGTGTGGGCAACCCCTGCGCCCTGGCGGCCTCTGAGCCCGGCCCTGACTCCGAGAGTCCGGGACTTGGCCTCCAGGACTCCCTGCCACCCTCCGCTGGCAGGTCGGCTCCCTGGTCCGGCCCTTCCCCTATTCCCAACCTCCCTGCGCCCCCTGGTTCGGCTGCATTTGGAGACCGCGGATGGGGGACCCCTTTCCTGGGAGAAGTGACAGATTCACCATGAGGGCCGACCTGCTGACGCCCTGGGCAACCTCAGACAGACAGAGCCCTGCTTCCACCCCAGAGCCCCGCGCCCCAGCCGTGCCAACCGGGGCTGGAAACCCTGCCAGGGCCGTTCTTATGCAGCAAATGGGGTCACGGAGGGGAAAGCGAGGTTAACTAATGGGGCCTGTCCCCAGCAGGTGCCTGGGATCACCCAGCCCGCGCCCCCTGGGAGGAGCAGCTGGTGCCCAGGCTGGGCCCGGGGATGCCCTGGCAGGCCCTTCACCTCCCCCCACCCCCCCCCACCCCCACTCCCGGCCTGCAGGACTCTGAGGCCGAAGGAGTGTCCTCTACCAGCCCGAGGACTGAAGGGCAGCCGCCTCCCCAGAAGGAGCCAGAGGAGGGCAGGAGGCCGGTAGCGTGGTGGCCAGAGCCCAGGTCTCCAGGCGGGCAGACCAGGAGCCCCTGTGTGCTGTTCTCTCACCTCTGACCTCAGTTTCGTCTTGGAGAGAACCTGTTCTCTATTCCCTTCCACACAGACATTCCGTGGGGCCGCGGTAGACGGCCTCACATAGTGTCAGGCTTGTGGCTCCCAGAAGCCCAGGCTGAGCCTCCCTGAGGGTGGGGCCGGATCCCAGGAAGGGAGACAGGTCAGGGCACAACTGGGCCCAGGAGAGCGGGAGCCCGCTCGGCCGCCACCTAGCGGGACCACGTGGGAGTGCAGCTCCAGGGAGGCCCTCCCAGGCCTGGGTAACCCTGGAGGCAGCTGCAGGGTGGGCTGGGGCTGCTGACCCCTCTGCTCCGCGGCCCTGGGTCAGCCCTGCGACCCGCAGACCCCTCCTCACTTCAGTGCATTCATAACAGCCACGGGAGTAGGGAGCCCGGATACTGAGAGGCATTATGAAAATTCTCATTAAAAACTGTGATATAGCAACGTATGCTCTCTTCATCACTACACTAAGCAATCACTCAGCCACACCAGCCGTACCCTGACAGTGTGACGAGAGGGCGGCTGGCAGTCCCAGGTATGGTCACCGCTGCTGTCTGTTGCCTACATTTATAATGGAAGGGCTAGGGGTAGGGGCAGGGGCAGGGTTAGGGGTAGGGGCAGGGTTAGGGTTAAGGTTAGGGGTAGGGGTAGGGTTAAGGTTAGGGGTAAGGAAGGGTAGGGTTAAGGTTAGGGGGTAGGGTTAAGGTTAGGGTTAGCTGTAGGGGTAGGGGTAGGGTTAGAATTAGGGTTAGGGTTAGGGTTAAAGTTAGGGGTAGGGGTAGGGTTAAGATTAGGGTTAGCTGTAGGGGTAGGGGTGGGTTTAGAGTTAGGGGTAGGAGTAGGGCTAGGGTTAAGGTTAGGGGTAGGGAGAGGGTAGGGGCAGGGGTAGAGTTAGGGTTAGGGGTAGGTTTAGAGTTAGGGGTAGGGTTAGGGGTTGGGGTAGGGGTGAGTGGAGGGGTAGGGGTAGGGGTGGGGTTAGGGTTAGAGTTCACAAAAATAAAGATGTGATTTCCCCCATCCAAGTGTAAGGACTCTTTGAAATCTATCCACATACTCAGGTGTCCCCAGACCCCAGCGACGAAGGCAGGGCTAGCCAGGGGTCAAGAGGAGGCTTCTGAGATAAGCTGGCTTCAGCTGTGACACCCAAGGGGACCACCGAGAGCAAAGAACCCGCAGGTGCTCCCCAAGGGTGCGCAGCCTCCTAACGTTGTGGGGGAGGCCTCTCCTGTACCCCATACCCCGTACCTTGTACCCCGTACCCTATACCCCGGCTCAGGAGCCTGGCCTGAGGGCAAGGTCCCTCCTTTCTCTTCCCTCGAGCCCGGCAGCTCCAGTCCCATCCTGCACAGACACCCCCTTCACTTTGTGCTCCTCTGTCTTGATGAAAACACTGCCATTTCTTCACGCTGCGGAATCCCGGAACCTCGGCTATGCTTCCCTCGGAACAGAGCGGCTTCCCTGAACCTTGACAGCATCTGGAATGTGGGGCTGGTTCATTTTTTCCTCTCCTGGGACTGGGAGGTGAGCATGTCAGCCGGGACCCAGCACACGTTGTCACACGCACGTGCGTGTGCACACACACACAGTCTCTCTTTCTCTCTATCTCTCTCTCATACACACACAGAGTCTCTATCTCTCTCTCACACACACACACACTTCAGATGTCCCTACTGTGGGACACCCGGGCCCCCTGCCCCCCTGCCCAGCCTGTTACCCCACTGGGAGGGACCTGCCCTGAGACCCGGGAGCCCCGGCCGCTCTGGCCCTCCCCTCGCCCTGCCGTCTGCCCGCTGGAGGCTCTTCCGCGTAAGCGGGCCCCGTATGGCCCTGACGGCCTCAGAGACCCGGCCGGACTCTTTAAGTCCCATCCAGAGCCAAACTGACCTGCCTTCATTCATTCCCCCGGGACGCAAATGCGTCCTAAGCATGACATTTGACCAAGGGGCTAAGTTTGTGATGGTTCATGAAAGGGAACATGCTGCTTAAAATTAGTACATGTCTCTTTAAATCAGCCCCACTAAGACCTCCCCTGGCCCCCGCCTTACCGACCCACCTCCCCGAGTAAAACTAGCATTGGTGATGGGGGGGCTCCTCCCAGGTGAGAGGCCCTGCACCTGAGCTGCTCCCACCAGGCTGCTCAGGCCTGCAAGCGCTGCCGAGTGCCAGGGCCAGGCTGCGGGCACAGTGACCGGGACCATGCCCTCAGCCCAGGCTGGCCAGACAGAGTGCCAGGTGCCCCCTGGCCGCCCAAATACACGCGTGTACTGGGAAGAGGGAGCGGCGGTCCTGGGCTCGCTCTGGGCAGCCATGTCCTCTTGGGCCGGTGGAAAGGTGGCCTGAGGAGGTGACCCGGCCCGGGATGCAGAAAACCGCTCATTTCACTTATTTCAGGACTTTTCAGGGTTCTCTGTGCTGACGGGTCCTCCCTCCATTTAGACTGAAAAGAGGGTTCGTTTACACTGTAGCGCGACCTCATCTGAACACGGTCCCTTGGCATCCTGAGGTTGGGAGGGCTGGATGTGAAGCTGGAGAGGAGTCAGGAGGGTGGGAGACTCCGCAGGGAAGCCGGTCAGGGGCTGGGGTGACGCCAGGTGGGGCCGCAGGGCCCAGGGGAGCCCTGACATTCCCTCATAATGATGCTGGGACCAGTCGGACCTTTGGTCCTGGGTTGTGGCTCCACTCCAGGGCACTGGGGCTCGGCTAATGGTGAGTTGGGGAGCGATGGATGGGCTGGTCTTGGCTGTGGGGCAGGCAGGGTGAGGGGGACACCTGTGTGCGTGGGGGGGGGGGGAGGGGGCGGTGTGGAACCAGGACAAAGAACTGGGACAAGGTGACCAACTTGGGAAAAGTCCCTCCTCCTCCGCCGGCAGAGGCCCCGCCTGGGGAGGGCAGGCACGGGAAGGGGCGCCAGTCTGCACGGGGTCTCAGGACGGGGCT